TTTGATCTTTCAAGCTGTTTAATGCCACTCAGCGGGTGTTGCATTCATCAGTCCAAAAGAAGTGAAATAAAAAGCGCCCATACATTAAAAAAAGTGTCTCACACGGCTCCGGGGGGTGAAAAAAGGCCTCCTGTAGCGAATCGATGTGTTTTTGTAAGAAAAATGTCCATATTCAAAACGTAATGATCACTTTAATGTAGCTTGCGCTCACTGTTGTAAACGGAAGCAGCGTTGTGCATGCGCCGCTCAGAAGTGACGCACGTGAAAACGCAGCAGAGTGATTATTACGTTTTGAATATGGATATTTTTCTTACAAAAATGCATAGATTCGCTAAAAGAGGCCTTTGTTCACCCCCCGGATGGATGGGATTTATTTAACTTCTTTTGGATTGATGCATGCAACACCCGCTGAGTGGCATTAAACAGCTTGCGGAAAAAATACCGGACTGAGACGGTGCCGCTGCATGTTGTGCCAAACCTCGCACAGCAGGCGCATCATCAGCTTGAGATCGGTTTATGAGATCGGCCTTTTTAAAGACTGCCGATCAAACATCCCTAAGCGATTATCGGCCGATAGTGATCGGTAACCGATCAATCGGAGCGAGCATGGACTTTATTTCTCAAAAGAAAATTCATGCAACCAAAACTTTGAAGATCCAAAAAGGTCATAAAGGCGTCATAAAAGCTGCGTGTTCGCTTATGGCTGTTAGCTACAGCACATCACAGCATCAGAAGGTTTGAGTGTTATACCCACTGGCATGTTTTCTGAGTTTTGAATAACCGGTTATTATAGGGTTGGGTTGGCTCAGTTTGGCTCATGTTTGAAATTAACCAAAGGCCATTTTGATAATGTTTGATAATGTTCAGTCTAAAACATTTTTTTTTCTTCACAGGGACATAAAGAACAACATAATCACACATATTGAACCAGGAGCTTTTTATGGACTTTTCACCCTCAAAAGACTGTAAGTATTATTCTGTCTCGCTTGTGTGTAAAATGTGTTGTTGACACCAGAGTTAGTATAGTAAACTAAAGGTATGTTTACACGACAGTGATTGTACTAAAAACGGAAAAGATTTTCTTTTGTGTTTTTGAAATGTTTCAAATCAGTCGTTACAAAAACAATCCCCATTCACACGGATCGGCGAAAATGACTAAAAGCGCCACATTACGTCTGCCAGGCCAGCAGTAGGGCGACGTCTCTTTATAAAGAAACCCTACGCGCATGCACATTCCTATAGACTGAACGTGTAATACGTACGTATGTGCATGATGTCACTGTTTTCACAAATTCACGTTTTCAGAGTCCAGGTGATAACGGGATTGTTTTCAAAAACTTGCACTTTGAAACCCGTTTTCAAAAGTTTGCATTTTTAGGCCCCCAAAAAATTATTCCATAAATGAACGGTTAAAACTCAAAACTCAAAACGGTTGAAAACAGTTTTGTGGAAACAGCCCCTAAAACTAAAACTGTAAAAAATTGTTACTTTGAATCAAAAACTTTTAACTGGGATAAAATCTTAAACTTATTTTATTTCAGCTTGTTGCCAAGGCAACATTTATTTATTTAGTTTAAATTCATGTACTAAAATAACTAAAACGAAAACTGAAATACTGAATACAAGTAATAAAATGCAATGACAATAAAAAAAATAAAGTTTTATAGACAAATTAAAAAAATAATAAAATTATCTAATAAATAAAATAAATATATAAATATTTATTTTGTTATAATATTTTATCTGTCTAGCTGTCTGTCTGTCTGTCTGTCATCACTATTTGTGTTTGGTAGCTCTTCAATAATTTATTTTTTCCTTCATGTATGTTTTATGCATTTTGTTCATATACATAATATAACTATATAAATAAATTATAAATATCTATTTTATTGTAATAAATATTTTTTCTTTTTCTTTTTAAAGATTAAATCCCGACACTGGTAATTTTGTTGCGGGTGCTAAAAAATGTGTGTGAAAATATGTATAAAAAAAGAACTCAGTAGTACTGAAATAGCACTGGTTGACACCTCTGTTGCGGAAATGCTCTGATTCAAGTAAAAACAGCTTCACCGTTGGGTGTGTGTAGCCACAGAAATAAGACTTCATCTTTCTGCAGTTCTTCACTCCAGATGGACGATGTCCAGACAGCGCTCTGCACAGCATGACTGATGCTATCGACTTTAACATGCCAGTACTTCTGTGTGTGTGTGTGTGAGAACTATTGAGAGTTGGAGAAAGAAAGGAGAGTTTGTTCCGTGTTTTGTGCATATGTGGCGAGCGGTCGGTTATATACGTTCTCCTGTGAGGGTTCGCGTGTATGGCGCGGCCGTGTAATATGACTCACTCCTTGCCAATATAAACTGCTCTTTGGCTGGCTAAATGGAGAAGTATGCAGCTCCCCTGTAAAAGAATTTCTGTCGTCCAGGACTTTTGAGAGAGTGCAGAAGATGAATTTTCACAGTTTTATAGTCTAAGTTACATTGCCAAATGTCAAAGTAGTTTAAAAGAAATTGCTGATGCTAAGTACCCTAATTTTTTGGGATATTTTTTCATGAATTTCTTTTTTCCTTGACAATGTAGGTAATAATGCATTTTGTCCATAGAAATGTGTTTTTGACTACTGTATAGTGACATTTTTTGTTGATTATTTTAAATATCAATTATCAGTTTTTTTGATTAGTTGTTAGAGCCCAGTATTTAACAATAGTTGTATCACATTTTTCAAGTTGTAACCTGATCATACAGCACTTCTCAAAAGTTTGGAAACATTATAATGTCTAGGTGTTTTTAACGAAGTCTCTTATGCTCACTGTGACTGCATTTATGTGCTCATAAATACAGTAGAGACACTAATATTGTCAAATATTATCGCAATTTAAAATAACAGATTTTATTTGAATATATTTAAAAAATTTAATTTATTCATGTGGTGATAATGCTGAATTTTCAGTATCATTACTCCAGTCTTCAGTGTCACATGATCCTTCAAAAATCATCCTTAATACTAGTAATGATGCTGAAAATTCAGCTTTGCATCAATGGAATTGCATTTTAAAATGTATTACAATATAAAACCGTTATTTTAAATTATAAAAAAAAATATTTTGCTATAGTACTGTATTTTTGTTCAAATAAATGGAGCCTTGGTGAGCAGAAGATACTTTATTAAAAGCATTTAAAAATCTTAATGTCATAATGTTTTGTTAAGTACTGTATGCGTTTGATAAACATATGTGGTATATTTATGTGGTGCCAAATTCTGTGTGCATCACCCACAGGGATTGCATTAGTAAGGGATAGATAGAAGTAAGCAATATGGGAATAGAAGGAAAACCATCACCATTCATCTTTTACACAACAAATAATATTTTAGACAATGAAGAATAACCATTCATGCAAGGGCTTCATCAAAAACCAGCCTTGCATTCCTGCTGCTGTTAAGCCCTCTGGTATGATAGTCACTTCCATTTCCATTGTGAGTCACATGAGTCAAATACAGGAGCGCACAAAGGCTTTGTATTACGCTAAAACCACATTATGGGACTTGCCATTCAATTCAAATTTCAGACCATTTATGCTGTTTGCTTCGTAAAGATTTGACTGATGAATTCATACTAAGATTTATGCTTAGAAGGTTTTCTACGCACTTCTCTATGCTTTTGAATGTTGGAGTGAAGCTTGCTATAAATCAAAGTGCTCTATTTTGTATGCCTCATGCTTGTATGTCTGAAACATGTGGCTTGACATGAAAGCGAGCGATTAAATGGGGTTCAGAGACCTTTGCCAAAAACATGCTGTGCCCTGTATGGAACGACTGCTGGATTGACAGGAATAATTATGTTTTGTCTAGGATGCAATGGTTGCTTGGCTGTCAGTTTTAATAAAATATAGGCAGGGTGAGATCATTTCCTAATTGGGGTTTGGTGAATGTGTCTCATGTTTTTTATAAGGGATGTTTTGCTTAATAAAGGCATATTTATGCATGGCTGTATGAATGCTGTTGCACTCCATCAAGACCTGTGTTGTTGTAAACTAAAACTATTAAAATGTATTGTTTATTGTCGTAATTAATTGAAATCAATATGAAATAAAATATAATTAATAGATGAAAAACTGAAACTTAAAAACCTAAATCAAAATTTGAAATGTTGCATTAAAATAAGTTTGAAGTAGGTTACTAAAATTACTAAAAGTACAGCTGAAATAAATATAAATTAAACCTAGAAATAAAAAAACAGCCAATGAAAATGCCAAAAGCACGTAACAAAATTACTAAAAAACTTCAACTGAAATTAAATTACGAACTAAAAAAAATATTACTGAAAATATAAAAATAAAAGCTAATTCAAATAAATACTGTATGTAAATAATACTAAAGTAATGCAGTTCAAGACAAGAATGCTGTCAGTTATGGTGCTCAGCGGTTAAAATAATTATTGTTATAATAATGTTGGATTATTATAATTCATTGGATAGATCTGTCATTTAGTTTCTTCCTTTAAGGCTGTATTTTATGACTTTTTTCTCGCAATTGCGACTTTCACGGTTCAATTTTATTTGATTTTTTTCAGAAATGCAACATATAAATCGCAATTGCAAGAAAAAAAAATCTGAATTGTAAGTTTATATCATGCAATTCTGAGAAAAGAAGAAGAATTGTGAGAGAAAAAGTCGCAATTACCTTTTTTTTTATTTTTCATGCAGTGGCAGAAATGGACTTCCTTAGTATTTCGATAGAAAGAGTATTAAAATACTTGAAGATGTTGCAGATTGCATGTGATTTGTATGTAGTAGCTGTTTTTGTAAATGCTTTATATTTGGACAAATCCAGGTAAGAAATGTTGAATAACAGTGCCTTTATGAGTTTACACAGCGCTTTCTCTTATCTTTTGTACCTTGCAGAGACTTGTCCAAAAACCTGATCGGCTGCCTCCATGTGGACGTCTTTAAAGGCCTCTCAACCCTTGTTAAACTGTAAGTCGTGTTTCTATCTCTACTATATGAACTTGAAATGGGGAATTTGTCGAAATACCGCATTTTCATCATAAAGAAATAAATTCATGTAAATATGGATTATTTATAGTGTCGTAAGCCACATTCATAACAACAGAGTCGCATGCTTTTAGTGTAAAATTAATCTGGCAATGCACATTTCACCCATTTTAATGTAAAATACCATCTATCTTATAATGCATCGCAAATTATACTCATTTATCAGTCCGTCGATCCGTCTGTCTGTCTATCTGCAGATATTCATATTAGATTGAGATGATGAGAACACAAAAGTCATTGGTGGTGTTTGGCTGAGATTCATTAGCCTGATTACCCTTCACAGAAAGCTAAAGCTGGTAACAGGTGTTGTTAGATGAGCGTGTTAACGCTGCCGTCCCGTGAGGAACTGTGAGCGTCGTCTTCACCTGCTGAAGGTGAAGATTACAACTGATCCAGTCATTTCAATTAAGACAGCAGCTGAAACTCAACAGATTGCGCCCCAAAACAGATGTGATGTCAAGGGTATACAGGACAAATTGAAAACATAAACTGTTGGTAATGAGGCTTTTTAGTTTAATATGTTAATGGATCCCACTTGAATAAATGGGACCAGAATTACTGTCCTTAAGTTGTTGTTGTTTTTTGTCATTTTAGACCGCAAATATGACACGTTTGCCCCAGTGGTTATGAAAGTTGTCCACAAAATATGAAAATAATTTTGCGCAGTTTTCACAGATGTCCAGAGCAGTGACCTCAGACATGCATTCATATAAACTCCTACACCTAAATGAATCGCCATTTGTTTAGCATCTCAACCGATTTGAATCGTCACATATTTGAATCGATTTTCAACCGGCTCGCGGTTAATCGTTACATCCCTACATAATAGTTGTAATAATAATCCATTTCATTTATCAGCAGCTCTCAAGACACTCAAGGACACATTAAACAATATAAAAACTACACTATAATTTTTTTATTTGTAAATAAAACAAAGCAGGATTATTTTAGTATTATTGAGATACTATTATAGTTTTTATTAATATATGTATTTTAATATTTTCTGTTTTAATTTTTTCAAAACGTTTTAGTACATTTGTTTTTGTTTGTTTGTATTTTTTATAGTTTTTGATTAGATTTTTTATTCAGTGTAAGTTTTTTTTTTTTTTTTTTTTTTTTTAGTATGTTTTTTGT